GATCAAATCATACGAGCTATTAGGAAATTTACAAATAACCAGCAATTGATTATTGTAACATCGTCACAATGCCCAATTTTTAATCATATTTTTTTAATTTAAAATATATGCTATCGCCTCAAATTAGTAGTGTCTTGCCCCCGTACATCATACTTTTCCTGTTAATAACAGAGTCGTGCCAATCAACTATTAACTGCTGTTGGGGAAAGATTTAAATTAAAATAACGTGTCTTCTGGTACAAACCGGAAGTTCCTACATAGTCAATTAGGGCCTCCTGCCTCCGAGCTTTCCATATCTGCTCTTAAATTTCATCTATCTAATTCCGTTCTCGAGATTAAGGAAAGACATTGGGAATTTATAGGACTACAGTTTTTTCCAATTGCAGCCCAATAATGATGTTTACGTTTTACTTTTTCATTCACTTTCGTTTGTAATTTTGGTCTCGCATAGTATTTGGCATACCAGTATCAATCCTATTGCATTTATGTCATCTTCTCAATAATAATAAATAATGCTGAATCTGAAATATAATAATAATACGAGGATTATTATTATACAGTATATCCTAATTTCCGTTAAAAAGTTAAAAAAGGAAAATTACTAAGTATATAAAATTTAATTTATATGAAATAATTTTCTGAACATGGAAAGATTAATTCTTTTTTTAAAGTAATTTTCTTTCAATAAAAGTGTAAATATTGTCATTTAAATATACTATATATTGTCGTAAATATGTTCAGTTTATAAACAAATGTTTAGATTTCGGTATATTTCTTCGCAGCGACTTTAAAATTCGTAGCTTCCTTTGTTCGAACGTTTTGAGAAGATAAATAGAAAATTTATTTATTCGTCACTTGTCTTCTATTATTAATATTATGTAATGATACCGGAATTTCAGCAATCGGCATAGGCGTAAGCCTATCATTTTCAGAGGTTCGGGTTCGAGTCCGGTTTGAAACTTTAGAGGATTTCAAGGATAGCTGGATCAGAATATATAAGACTTAGGATATATGCGAATCATCAATGTTTCGAGTGGTCGAGTGGATCAACCATTGAACAACTGCTCACGGGTTCGCACCTGACCAAGCAGTTTTCCAAGTTTACTTCGCGTGTCTAATACCTAAATAGGACCAATATACAGTACTTTCTTAAACTCTTTCTGCCCCGTGAGTACTAAGAGGGCCTCTTTTAGCGAGTCCATTATGGGTTCGCCTTTTAATTTAATTAAATGAATAGCATAGAATTATTATAACTAAGCCTTAATATGCATAAGATTTCTTTGTATGTAGTTTAAAGATATAGGCTATAATAAATCTTTAATATCTATATCTATATCTATATTATATATATAAAAATGGACATGTATGTCCCTATATCTCACGTTTTCGCCAAAACTACACATCGCACGTGAATGGTGTTTGTATGTGGTGGTAGCCCCGAGTCTCCATTCGTGCATAGGAGTGGTTGCGTCTCGATAGCTATAAGGGTGCGGGAGATATGAGGCTGAAAGTAGTTGAAAGTGGCTTTCTATTTCGAATGTTTTGTTCGATTTTTTCGAATTTGTTCGAATTAAATTCGAACATAAAATTCGAATTGGTTCGATTATAGAACGATTGAAAACGTTCCAGAAACGTTGAAATTTGTTCGTTTGACTAAACGTAAAAATTCTCTAATTAGTCTGGAAACGGGGGACCTAATTCTTGCATTCTGTGAAAACGGGTAAGATTGGCTATAATGTAATTATCTTAATCTTCACTATCGTTACTTTTTGCCCACAAATAAAAATTCAGCGAAGCAGGTCCTTGCAGCTAGATTCTAGATTACTTAGAAAAACAGTATTTTATATATATAAAAAAAACTATACTATTACATACAAATAAAAACCCAGCGAAGCGGGTCCTTGCAGCTAGTTAAAATATATAATTTTAACCTTAAATAAACCATAATGTATTATTGATAATCATAATTTCCTTCCATAATTTTAAGGAAATAAAATTTATTCCTCAGTACAAAAATAACGTTAACAGTACTAGTACAGAACTTCCGAATGGGGAGGAAAGGTGCGGTTACATAGCACTTCCTGCCAATTCGAGGATGCCCGGATGCGTGTGAAGTTTTAACTTTAAGTTTCGGATCCAATTTGGTTCGGGTCAGAGTAAAATAGGTTTTCCCTTGACGTTGCACCGATGAGCATTGAAGCTGTGAGCGAGGACAATTAAAAGATTTTTATGCTACCAAAACAAATCCGTGTTCTAGATGTATCTTACAAAATGTCTTTTCAATAGCATTTTTTTCTATTATACGCAGTTTATATATACAATTTAATTATAATATATTTTTCTGTAGTAAGCATTATTGACTTTTATATGTTCGAAACATTGCTACGAAATCCTACTTCGATTTATCTATATATATAAGTGAGGATGATTGTTTGTTTGTTCGCTATTCACTCCCAGGCCGTTCGATCAATTATTATGAAACGCGGCAGTTACTTTCAAATACTTCTAACAGATTATGTCGTACGTTTCACCCCAGAACAACATAATATTACAGGCTTCCTTAATTCTAATAATTGCCCTCCAATAGCCTAGCGCATAAAACCACCGAACACTTAGTTAGTCGTGGATTCGGGCACGGCCAACGAGACTGCCACGTGGAGTTTTCCGGGTTTTCTTCGCGTTAGTAACACCTGAATAGAGTCCCATAAAAACTTCCCATAAAAATTTTTCCTAGATGCATCCCATCGGCAGATCGCTCACGTGTGGCGCCGTAACCGAAAAAAACTGAATTAATTCTAGCGAACGATTATTTATTATGACATCGTCGCAATTAACATTGTGTCGTAATAATCGTTTTAGTGGTGTCTACATCATACGTTTTCCGTTAGCAATAGAGTCGTGCCGATTATCTAACTCTTTTCGGGGGAAATTTTTGAATTGAAAAAACTTGACTTCTGGTCTAAAACGGAAGTTCGTATATAGTTAACACGGGCCTCCTGGCTCTAAGGTTTTTACATGTGGTCTCGACTTTCATTTATCTAACTTCGTTCTCGAGATTAAGGAAGGACAGACAGGCAGACGGACTTCAACCTCTTCCGAAATAGTCCCTTCTTTCTATTGGACCCAGCGGAACGGTGGCATTCGAATAAGAAAATTACATAATATAAGGTTACCGGAGAGCGCAAAATATGATTCAAATGGTTTTCGAGGGTGCCGAGTTAAAATATTTGGTCCGTTTTTCGCGAAATTTAATTGGTTGGCAGTTTATTGTTTGATATTCGGCTATAAATAGCAGTTTCTTAACCTCAGTGGCGTACCGTGGGTGTCAGCCCCCTTATTTAGGCATTTCAATTTAAAAGACCAAAATTCAGTTTTGTCACAGAACAAGCGATGAAAAATTCGGTGGTAGTGCAGCGACCTGTTTAAAATAGTTCTATTGGATATTAGTGGTGTATACGAACGCGAATGAATCGTACAAGCAAAAAAACAAAAAACGAAAAAAAAAGGTCAACAGGTTTCTCAGGAATTCCTCGGACGAAAAAGCTATTAGTTCACCCGGCGAGCCGATTCCCGGACTGTCCGGACGATAGCGCTATCGTAAGCGCGATGCGAGTATAGATTAGGATGTTTCAAAATTTTACAAGATATTATTATTATTTATTGTGAAATTTTGCCCCCCCCCCAAGTACGATACGCCACCGCTTAACATTAAGAAATATCACGATATCCGAACATATTTAAGATATACTTTCAATTCCCGTCTACTCGACCATTGAATTTATGCCATTTCGTACCGTTCGAGTATCGCGATAACGGTAGGCTGAAACAAGCACTCTTTATACGGTTTTCGTTTTAATTTTCGTTATAGCGTAGGCTAGTAATTGATTTATACAATTACAAAGGTTATCTTACGTAAAGATTCATCACGCGAAGCGACCAATATAACACATTTAAAAATTTTTTTAAATCGTGTACAGTAGAGGAATAAAGAATATAGTATAACGTTCTATAATAGAAGGGTTGGAAGTAAGAAATAATCTATCTATTAGATTATTTCTTATTTCTAATCTTAATCTTCGACGTCGTTATTTTTTACCCGGGCAACGCTGGGCTCATCTGCCAGTATTAATGTATATAATCTATATCTATAAACGAGTTTGTTTGTTGGCTACGTATTCTTAGGTGGTTCGAACAACGGATAAGAAAGTCGGCAGTTCCGTTAACCTAACCTACCAACTTAGATAGCGTCTATATACCACCCCAAAATATCGAATTTCTATACACGGATTAATTTTTCTTTACACGGCATTAGCCGGATTTACACCTAGCTTCATCTATCGGCAGAAAATTCAAAAATTAATAAACTAAATTTTATCATCGTCATTTACCAATCATTTAGTTGTTACAAATTACATTCAAACTATATAAAGTATATTATTATATAGTAAATTATTAACAGGTATAAAAATTTTGAAACATTTTAAGCATCGTAGCGTTTCATTGGATATACGTCGATAATTATTAAAAAATGTTCCGTTTACGGCGATATCGACCATTTTGGTCGCATCAAACAAATCGGATGCGATGAAAATTTTCACCAATTTCTACATATTTCGTCGACATTTAAAAAAATAATAAAAATAAAACTTAAAAATTCATTAAAATTGACAAAAACGGTCAAAGACGCGACTCTTACGCCAAACTTGGAAGCTTTTTTATAATCTTTTGATTTTGTTTTACTGATAAACTGTGTGTTTACTGTACTCGCGGATTTGTATAGGGGAAGATGGGGCGAGATGAGAACGTCACGGTTTGAAAAGTCATAAGATGGCAGGTAAATGCGCCATCTGGCCCCAGCCGCGGGGTAAGACGGGGATATTATTTTTATAACAAATTAAAAGGGTTAAACTGTCGTTTTCTTCAATATTGGCGCTCGTTTATGGCGACGGCTACGTTTATTATTTTCTTCCGAATAAATAAATGTAAAAGTTTCGACTTACTCGTATTTAATTTACCAGACGATACCGTCGCTTGGCGCACGCTCGGTTTCGCTATTTTGTAAACGAACGATTTTTTTTTCGTGGAAAAAAATCCATTTTATTTCGATGGTTATCTGGCATTTTATTTCTCGCTAAGATAATATTTAAATTTAAAAAATGTTTTCGCCAATAAAATAAAACGTAAAAACGTAAATAATAAAGTGATAGAGTATGTACTGTATAAATTTATTAGTTAGATACGATTTAAAAGTGGAATACTGTATTTCATTTTCTATAAAAAGATCATTTTTAAACTTATTTTATATATTCGAAAAAATAATATAGAATTATCGACGACGACGAATTTAAAACTAGTTGGCTGCGTTATATCGCGGCGCCTGCGGCCGGCGGCAGAATTCGTGGCCGACCTGGGGCCAGACGGTGGGGGCGAGTCTGGCCCCAACGCCCACTTTTCGTACCGACTTTATTTCGAAACTAAACAATTTCGGTCTGAAAGTTTACTTCCAATACCGTAACGTCTTGGTGTAAAAAATAATGTACAAGTTGGCCACGACGCTTACTTGGTAGAAACTTTGTAGCGGGAGTAAAATTAGACCAAGTATTGCCGAAAGGTGAAAACAAACAGAGCGATTCGGACGTTCTCTCCCGTCCCGCCATCCCTTTCCGGGTCGACATTTAGTTGTCCGAATAACCGCTAGACGAAAACGCGTTAACCGCCAATAAACGGACGTCCCCGTCTCGCGCCACCTTCCCCTACGTTGTCGTTCTTCGGACTTAATGAACATTTTACTCGATTACTGGGAATTACGATATTTTTAAAAATTCGTCTCTACCTTGGAAATTAAGCGTTTTTCGCCTTTTTTAAAATACTGATTAATAATATATAAGTTATTTCTAAAAATACGGCATTCCGCCGGCGATTTTAACTTTAAATTAGCGTCGTAGCGTTTTTAAACCTAAATATTTTTAAAATTTTAGTCACGATTCGACAAATTTACTTCTTTTAAGCTTTCGCGTTACTTAAAGTTTATATCCTGGTATAATCGGACTCCCTAATGGTCCCTCGACTTCCCGTTACCGAATTTTTTCGAAACTAAACGAAAGTAAGTTATTGATAATTTTAAGTTTCTATTATAACGATACGTACGAAGAACGTAATTAGTTGAGTTTAATAAACGATTTAACGAAAATATTATCCGAAATTCCTTCGTTGTAAACGCTATACTTATTGCTGTAACAGTATTAGTAGCGCCAATAGTCTTTCGCATTTAGTATTTTCTTAGTTCCGTTCTGTCTAGATAATTCTTATCATTATTGTTTCCTAATTAGATTATATCAATTTAATAAAGTTATCGTTCGTACGAATAAAAATTTAACTTTGTAATTTTGCCGGCGATTTCTTTTTCTTCGCTTACGTCGAAAAAGTATGGTCAAATTTGATTTACCAGACAAGTAATTGGAACAATTTATATATAAATCAATAAATGTATTTTGAAATAAATTTTATATTTTTATATATGGGAATCCGCGTCGGGAATTCCGATTAAAACTTATAGAATTATTGGAATTTGAAATTGTCATACGCCGGGAGATAAATTACGTGGAAAACATCACGTACTACATTACGGAAAGATGCGCGTTTACGACCGAAAAAACATCGTAAGCTTAATTATAAATTTTACCGTATTTTTATACGGAAGAATATTGTAAAAAAGTAATATATATAACCTCGCTGTATCATTTTTTAATAGCCGACACTTAAAAATTGCAATTTTAAAAATTCGAAAAGATTTTTCTCCTTTAATTAACTGTAAGTAATAGATTGGCAGTTGTAAATGAATCGCCTACAGAATTTGTAAGCCAATGTTACGGATTACAGCAAAAGTTGGCATAAAATCTTCCGCAATTCCCGGGAGTTTTTAGAAAAGTTTGAAAGCTTCCTGGCAATTTCTGAGACGTCTTAGAACGATATTAAACTGGATTAAATAATAAAAAGCGATATAAGTTTCTAACATCGAATTTGGAAATTTTTAATTAATTATTTTATACATCAATTTTATGTAATTGGGAACGTAGACCGTATTATAATAATTTCAGAGATTGCAAATTCTACGTAAAAAATTCAAAAAATAAGCATAAATTTTTGAAAAATTATTGGCTTATTTCTTCGCTTATTTTTGTATATGCGGTTTTAGGTAATAAAAATTCATAGCCCAATAATATAGGCTATATGGGATGGATAAAATAAGTTCTCGAAATTACTCTGGTTTCGTCATACTCGTATATTTCGAAATGGTTTGACTAATTTTAAATAACATCCATGTTCGTACAGCGCGTTTAATTACGGAATGGCCTTATAAACTCGGAGACTAATCGAAAGAGGATTTCGGTTTGTCGGAGTAAATGGCTGGGGCTAAAAATAAGGTTCGCCTACTAAAATAAAGCTCTTATCCCGTAGACGATGCCGCCCAAGACAGATTTGAGAAAGGCGCCATGGTTCGAGCCTGGCCGAGTGGCGAAGGTACGGTACGTACGGTACAATCTGTGGGACAAACGCGTCCATCTGCTGTATATAATTGAAGTTAAATCATTTTAACGATTTAATATTTTGTTTTTATATCCGTCTTCGCAATATAGGCTATAATTGTCGCGTGAAAGGTGGTGCGGAGACGGTTTCGTAAGATCTTATTAAATCAACGACGAACTTCGTTTGTAAATAAGATTTATTCTTTTTTACTCGTTTATACAGCCAGACAAATGTTTATCGAAATATATTTCCAGTTAAAATCGAATTCATAATTATAACAATTTTATTTTCGATTATTTGACATTTTAATATCTACAAACAACACGTAGGCTAAATATTCGTCTTTATATTATAACAATATGATACGTCTCTACATACGTACAGTACATTTAATTTCGTATTGCGTGGCCAATGTCATAATATACATAATGGCGTGCGAAATAAAACATCGATTTAAGTTTAAGATTATATTTCCAACCAAATAATAACAATAATATATCGAGTAATGCGTAAATGAGTTACCAAATTCCTATTAATAACTATTCCATTTAATAAAACCGTCGAATAAGATGTAAACAAAACGACAATTATCGATCCCGCAAATCGCTCATGTCTTACTTTCCTCGGTTTCGGAAGCGGCACCGGCGGAAGGCAACCATTTTTCCAACAAAGGACACTTAGTCTTCAACTTTTTAAGGACTTTCTTGGTCAATGTGAACGAAATGAAAACAAATATGCCGTAGAACGAAGTAAATACGACAAAAATCCAAGCGGTTGCCGTGGACTGTATAACGAAATGAACGATACCGGATATCCAAGTTAAACCACTTACTACAAATAACCGAAAGTACGAAGCGCATCTTTTCATTAACACGTTGAAACGTTTATCTTTCGACATTTTATCGGTGTGGCATATAATATACGAACTCCAGATAAAGAAAACTAGATTGGAAACCATTACCAGTACCAGAGGTGTCAAGAAAAATATATGAAAAGGAGTCATACTATTGAACCAACATCGTTTTTCTCCTAGAGCGGGTCTAAAATCTCCTTTCACGCCGGGGGAGTTGTCGATAATGAGAATGATCAAAACTAATAAAACCGGAGTGGCCCATCCAAAAACGGAATATTGTAAATATCTCTGCAACTCTTTATTTTTGGCATAAAATCCGGTTTCGTATCTTAACGTTTTCAAAGATCGCCATATTTCGAATCCAATGACACTCATCCACAGAAAGGAAGATATTAAGAAATAATAAGTTAACACCGAAAATATTACGCAAGCTACTCTAAATTTCACGTTAGAACTAATCATAAAAAACATAAAACTAAAAAATACCGCAATCGTTAAAGAAAACAAATTTTTACCCGAGAGATTTCTCATTTCGGGAATACAAACGAAGGCCAATATGTGAAGTCCCAGACATATGTTTGACAACGATATTCCTATATTAGTTATAATTTCAAACTTTTCGTTGGTGGAGGATTGTTCTATCATTTCCTTTCTCGCGCACACAAACATTATCTTACCATCGGTATAATAATCGGTAGCTTCGTATACAGTTAAATACTCGGCTATGTACAAGGTAGTATTATCGATAGCGCAGAATTCGGTCGAATCCAGCGCAATATGGGGACAATTCAAGAATTCCTCGCTCCATCCCTCCGAAAGACTTTCTACGTAAATCTGTTGGCTTCTGTTTCCTTCAAAAATTACATTCAGTTTCTTCAAAATGTCTTCGGAGCAGACGTCGGCTAACATCTTAGTTTCTAAAAAATTTTCCTCGTAATACGCATAATCCGAAGAATTTCCCGTCGCATTATACGCTTGGCTGTAATTATTGGCGTTATTTAAAGTCACCGTTTTCAATAATGTCCACACTAATAATTGAATCCTCGGTTCCATTACGACGATACCGTCTGGACACTTTAACTTCACCTAGGAAAATAACAGGGTTTGTTTAGTGAGGAAAGGAAATTCTATATCAGCAACGAAATCATCATTTCTCAATTTCCTCGCTCTGTTCTATTTCTCAATTTCCACTTGGTTTAATTTTTAATATACTTTATACATTTTATCAGATAATTTTTATACAAAATGTTATTTAATTTAAAAAACACACGTCACGATTTTTAAACCGCTTTCGTTGAAACGTGAAGCTTTAATAATTTTTTTTTAAATGAATATTAAGAAAAAGTCGAATATTGATATTCCGAATTAGGTCACATTATTAGAAACGGATCCAGAAGACACATACATATACTCGGGATCAACTCGAGAATTTTGGCTCCACAGTTATTTAGGGGTGCCTCGACCAGTTAGATAAATTTAGTAGCCTAAAGTCTAGTTAAACTTAGGGCGTGGTTGTGGCGCGAAATCGAGATAGCGGGTCGGGAGGTTATCGGAAAGCGTCGCTTTTACTGCCGAGAACTTAACAAATGCTTTACTCCCAGGTGTAAAAATTGATGTTACGACGTTAAATTGTCTACGTTTAAGTCCGACTTCTCGCAATAGAGAATGTCCTACATTATAAAAATTTGTAAGTGGACGAGAGATTCAGTTGCCGTATCAATGACAATTCGTTTATCTTTGTTTTCAGAAAAGTAATAACGTAAAAAATAAACATAAATAATCACATTTTAATGAATTTTATACAGATTGAGTGATTCGTTAATTAATGCGACCGACCGTAATTACATCCATCGAAGAACAGACCGAGTCTGATAAGTTGTTAGCTGACTCCATAAAGATGGCATTTTTCCCACCGTAGCTTCTCCGTATGCGTAGCGAATTAGGATTCGTACTCTCCAAGATAAATTATAGCCGTCTGGACAGGATTCGATAGGCTAACAACTTACTATCCGGTTAACGATTTTAATGCAAATCTGGATTAAAGGTGGCTTACATTTTTCCATTGCCCAATCTTTTATTTTTTTAAAATTTAATCTGTTTATGCTATTGAGAATAAAAATACAATACTAAACACAAATTAAAGAGAATTGATAGCATTCTATTTAGCTGGGAGTCGGAGATGTTAAAACTTACGACGACTCGTAAATGGAAATCAGATGTAGTACTACTACTAGAGTTTTCCGTTTCGATAGTTGTATTTGTGGTTAATTAACCACAGATTTTTGTGATGTAATTTGTAATCACTAAAAATGAAGTATCTGTAGTTAACCACATTTCGAGTTGTTATCTGATGTCTTTGGATAAATTCGAGTTTCTTCGAAAGTGGAAAATTAATTAATAAATTCAATTACGGGTAAATTTGTAAAAACAACAAAAATAAATAATACAATGATGGAAATTTTTCTGAATTTAACACGTGCGAACCAGATTTTCTGACACCAACCAGTTCTCGAGAGAGTCAATCGAGATGAAACATAACCACTACCCCACCCACTCTTAAAAATATTATGAATTCCGTTATTTTTTGCATTTATCGATGTAAACGAAGAGACAATTGTATGCGCAAACAATACGTGTATTTTACCTATGTCTCAATAACAGGGACGAGGATTTCCTCCCCCTACCTTTTTCCTTAATCTTTCGCAACATCGACAGATGTCATAGTTTATCTTCCTTTGGTTATTTATCCTATCCCATAATAACATTCTTTTTATGCCTAAAGATGATCCATTAACTGAGTTGAAAATTTGCATTTCCCGAAACTGTTAAAAGGTGTACTGCTTACTTTGTTAATTGGATTGAGTAAATATTTGAAACAAATTAGGTATTGAATAGACAGGATGCGTTGAAGTCTCTACAGAAAACACAGAGTATCTGAATAATACTTTTGATGTGTGTATGCACGTAGCAACAAACATGTAAACAAGCATTTATATTCAATTCATTCAGTTTGAAGATAATCTATAATTTATTAATGAATCTATGTATACTTTTGAAGCATGCTGTATTTTACATTTTTCTAATGAAAAAGCATATGAAAGTAGCTTATATTATCCTAAAAGCAAACATCATAATCAAATCAGTATAAAATGAATTATGTTAATAACTCTTAAATTTAAAACTAAAGTAAAAATTAAACTTCTTAGATCTCACTGTATGCAGATTATAAGCATTTAAGAAAAAATGCTTAATTTTTTTTCTTAATTAGAGGAAATAATTCAATGTCAATTTTACTTATTTATTATTAATACAAATTTATACAAGTCACAACAGTGTCCACAAGATAAAAGTCACCTTAAAATAAAATAAAAACAAAATACCCAAATAAAAATTACAATATATAAAAAAATAAGAAAAATAAAAAACAGAATGAATTACAGTAGAGCGTCGTTTATCCGAAACGTCGGTTATCCGAAAGAGTTCCAGTCGGCAAATTTAAATTTTCGCTAGTGCTGTGGCGCCGCAATCTTTGGCTATGTCTTGGGCTACTCCAATATTTTTTTTGTTGGTGTGTGTTTTAGCTGGCAGCATGGCACTTTTGTGTGGTGTTTTTCTGAGGACTGTGTGTCCTGCTGAATCAAACGATTTTGATAATAGATTAACTTCTGAAGTATAATTTTTTATTGTTTTTATATTTTTCAATATATTTATTTTGTTTGTACAAAATAATGAAATAATGTTTAACGATACAATAGCCACGATTATTATTTTAAAAAGTTTACATTAGGCTTAACATCGACGAAAATTCAACGCAAAGCGACACGCAACGGAGAAAAATTTCAACACGGGATATTTTTTCGTGTATAATCGGTTATTCGAACAACCCATCCCCAATTGATTCGGATAAACGACGCTCTACTGTATTTTGGAAATTTAAAGCATTTTTACAAAAATTTCCAAAAATGATAATACAGAAATTGGCTCAGATAATTGAGGTTCTACTATATTGTATATATTATAAGCCTATTAAAAAATTTTTAAGATATGTTGAGTCTAAACTGTAAACTAAAGAGAAAAAGTGTTAAAAAATTTTTTAACTTGTTACCTTTATGTTTAAATTCTGTCAAAAACTTAAGTTCATGAAAATGAACACATTTCTATGCTGATCAGTCCTGTAGCCAGGAATAATTTATTGGGGGCTAAAGAAGCAAGTTGAAAAATTTGTGACTGATGTTTTTTTCTCCAGCTATTATTAGGCCTATTAGCTACAGGCCAAGTAAAAAAAGAAACAGTAGCTTTAGACGAAAGCGAAAGTATATATTATTCTTAAACCCCTTTGGCTTAGTCGACAATGCCAATAGTATCGATACTAACAAGCCGAGAGCGTTTAGCCACTTTGTAACCTCTCGTAGCTACTACTGATCTGAATAATAATGAAAAAAATATCTTTTGCTTTCATTCATAGCTTCAAAGTAATGACACACTATCATACATTTTCCTACCTCATGAAATAAATGTAATAAAGTTACTTCTGATACTGCTCATCTAATAAACATTATCTGGATTATAAAGATTTTATATCAGTATTTTATCATGTTCAGTTACTTAACTTTAATACAGTAATGTAAAATTTTTAAATTTAAATTTCTGAAATGTTTTCAAATACTGTATTTAAGTTTATTATTTTACAGATAGTCCCCGACTTTTTGACACAATGCGTTCGTAAAAAAAAATGTGTATGAAAGTATAAAATGTTGGATAATAGTCAAGCAGTAAAGTTGAATGCTATTAAGGGAGTTCTGTTTCAAGAGAGCAAACTAGAAAAATTATAAAATCTCTTGTTTAGATAAGTAAGTTTTACTTTTTGTATGGTAAATATATCATAATATAACTACAGATTAAACAAAAGACAGGTCAATAAAAATTAATTCTCAAAATTGATTTTACTGAAATCAAAATTTGAAGAAAGTGTCATCACACCATGCTAAAAATGTTTGTTTGTTGATTGAAATGTACGAAAGCCAAAATTTAGTGTACAAAAAACAATTTAGAGATATCAAAATATCATATACAGAAGGGCAAGTTTTCCAAACATGAAACATCCAAAAGTGGACAAATGCCTTTAAATCCCATAACATACATATTTTTCTTGATCAAATTTTTACACATGAAAAAATTTAAAACTATTTACAAGTTTATTAAATCAGAATGAAATCATTGCAAAATGATATGACCGCTCTATGATATTGACAATTAAGCATCCCTAAAAATTCTATCATAGATTAAAAAGACAAAGATGTACAATAAGAAACATTCGGCAAGGTTAACTTAATCATGCCATCTTTCTCATATTTACATAATAAACTGCAATACCTGGTGCAATTTCTTTTTATTCAAATTATCCAAGTATTAAAATTTTGAATCAATACACATTAATGTAACATTAACATTTATGGGATGACAGTGCAATCTGCAAAATCTGACTTAACCAAAACTATGAATTATCTGCCTGAATTTACAAAAGTTTATTGCATTTAATATCTGGAAAATGTGGATATTTGATTATCCGAAAAATTACAGTAAAATTAAAACATCTGTACTTAAAATTTTTTAAAATTTATTTCAATTTAGCATATATTTTATATTAAAATACTTAACTACTTTAAATTATTGCATTTATACTTTTTATAAATTATTATAGGGCGTGGTTGT